AAGGAAGTTGATGACTGATAAGATTTTGCCTTGCCTCCAAAATGTGGACTCTACTCACTTGGGAGCTGCATTTCGCCTGTACTGTGTTTAATTTCAAGAATGGAGTTAACCTTTTCCATTCAGCCCTTTTGAGTTATAATAATAATTGTAGCCATTTTTGTAGGTTTTTAAAGTTTACATTTGAACATTTGGTTGTCTTAAGTGTGGTATGACAGCATAAATTGAAACAGTAAGATATATAATCATGCAAAAAAAAAGGCATAATTATAAATAATGCCAAATCCAGTCTAAACATCTGGCTGACTGTGTGACTAATCATCACAATAAAAAGAATAAAAATAATCCTTTTGTGCACTGTATTTAATCAGGCAGTAGTGTGCTAAGCCATTATTCATTCTTAGGGTTTGCATGTTTTCTGTGGCAGATTTCTTTCGAGGTGTTTGAAATGTTTGACTGTAGGATACGTATCTTGATATAGAATATTCTTAAAGTGAATATAAAGAGAAAAGTAGAGACTTTTCTTCTGGGTTTAATGGAAAAAGCCTTGGAAAAAAAATCGGAACTTTGATGTTATGTATGTTGATGGCAACAAGACTACTTTATGCACAGAAATGGAAGGTCACCTCGATCCCCACAATGGATGAAGGATTGTAAAAATCGATGGAATTAGCAGAGGTGGCTAAATTGACTGTTTTGATCAAAGGGGAAAAAAACCCAGTTATTTCTGCTTGGAAACCGCTTCTGGACTTTGTGATTGAGATGGAACAAAATGAAATTTTCATTTTGGGTTTTAACGATTAGATAGATTTGTTGTTATAGAAATGGCTAGTTTATACTGTTATGTAAAAGTAAAAAGTTGAGGTTTGATGTTAATGCCTTATTCTACTGCACCAAAGGGAGTCAACAGTCAATGCCACCCTCCCACTTTTCTCCCTTTTCTTTCCCTCACTTTTTCCTTGCCTTTACCCTTCCCTATTTTTCCTACTATTTACATTTGTATTATCTTTGTGTGCTATATTATAAACTAATAAAAACTGTTTAAAAGAAAAAAAAATGAAATAGAATGTTTGATTGTCCAGCTGTTGATATGCTCGTTTCTGCATCTGTCAGACTCTAGGCCTGGGAAGTCTGTTACCGGATAATTATATAAATTTTATGGGATGTGGTGACTCAGTGGCTAAGACACTGAGCTTGTCGATCAGAAAGGTTGGCAGTTTGGTGGTTTGAAGCCCTAGTGCTGCATGTAACAGAGTGATATCCTGTTACTTGTGCCAGCTTCTGCCAACCTAGCTGTTCGAAAGCATATAAAAATACAAGTAGAAAAATAGGGACCATTTTGGTGGGATGGTAACAGTGTTCCCTGCACCTTTGGCATTTAGTCATGCTGGCCACAGGACCACAGATGTCTTCGGACAGCGCTGGTTCTTGCTGCCTTGGTGAGAGCTCTGCTGCCGGGAAGGAGGGCCCGCCTGTCATCTGTGCTGGGCACCCCAGGCGAAGCTCTTCGTGCTCTGCCCAGCGCCAAGCAGGAATAGCGGCTGGGTGCTTCTCCCGAGGTGGGCCGATCTTGTGCTGTGGCCCCGGGAGATTCGCCTCCCCATGTGGGGTTGGGCTGCCCTCTCGGGCAGGGGAGGCTTTGTTATAGTAGGGCGTCATTTTTAAAAGAATTGACTTTACCTTCGAAGGCAAAGGGAAGGCGGCGACAGGAGCGCCTGAAGCCAAGTGTCTCCGCCAGGCTCCAGTTTCAGGGAAGAGCCCTGGCTGGCCGCACATGGCTGCGCCAATGCCGAGGCATTGCGTTAAATGCCACAGCAGCAAGGGAGAAGGGAAAGGAACGGTGGCAGAAGGTCTCCCAATACGAAATGCCCCACCAACGCCAAGGTCAACATCCAAGCTGTCGCCACCTGCCCACCCAAGGATGCAAGGGGGGGAATTAAGTCACCCCCGAAAAGACGGCCTAGCCATTTTTCGGGGGTCAAAAAAAAATAAGGCCCGGCCTTATTTTGTGACAAACATGGTAGTTCTCAATTTACAACAACAATTGGGACTGGAATCTCAATTGTTAAGTGAAGTGGTCATTAAGTGAGATGTCCACATGACTGTTTTGCTCAATGATCACAATCGGAGGATTCCTAGTTGAGTTGTTAATTGCCCAAGTTGTTAACTGGACAGAGTGAAAGAAGGACAAAGGCAAAACCTTTAATAGGCTCCAGGACCACATGTAAAGAGGGGAAATCAAGAACCTAAGCGCATAACCTCACACTGACAAGAGGGAAGTTTAAAAGTAATAAAGTATTATTTCATAGGAAGAGTAGTAGAAGTTTGGAAGCAAAGGCAGTGGGTCAATCATCAGTAACCAAGTTTAAACATGGCTAGGATAAACGCATGTCCATCATCTGACAAAAATTTAACAATAAAATTAAAAAAATTAAAAGAAACTATTAAAAATAATAAATACATAAATTAAAAATAAAACAACTCAAAGGGCAGATTCGACAGACCATGACCACTAGGTTTTTTCCCCTCTGCCATCAGTTTTCTATGTTTCTCTGAAATCTTTTGGTGAGCTATAGGAATGGAACTGAAGATTTCAGTCTTGTTTCTGTAGCCCAGCAAAGGGTTAGGGTTACATTTGTAGAGGAAGCAAATGAGTTTTCTATGTTCTTTCTGCAGTCTTCTTTACTGTATCTATTTTGTTCTAGAAGTTTTTAGGAAATGTAGGAAATAGCAAATTAATGAAAATTGTCCTCTGATTTTCCTATGAGAGTTGCCTGAGTAAACTACAAGTAGACTGTATTTAGTCACTGCCTTGTTTAGCAGCTATGTAAAAAGTAACCTTACTACCAATCCTCACCCTCCCATTTATGACATTTGCAGGTCCAGGAAGGAAAGAAAACCTGAAGTGAGATCATAGCCACAATCATAGTTTCAGTTAGCTTTAATTAACAACTGAGTTGTTATATTTACTTAATTTAACTCTGGTTCCAAGGAAAAATAATTAAGCTCTAAAGTACAGTGCTTTGGTTTGTTGTATGTGAGTAAATGATTAATTTATACAGAAACTAGAGAGTGACATCTTCAAAGACCATAAAAATCCAACCTTTTGACCTCAGAATTACAAACTGGACTCATAAGTCCATTCTGGCTGTTTGCATAGCTTCATCCTTTATTTCAAGGTCATTCATATTTGGAAACTGGCTTTTATATATACAGATTCTTTATATAGCTTTTCTTTGAATAAACCCATACCCTCTTCTACTGGTAAAATAGTGGTCTAAGGGTGTGTATATGTAAAAAAACTTGCCTGGTGTTGGATATGCTTATACAGGCCATGTACGCTTGTGTAGCTTACATAAGAAGAACCCAAAGAATCAATGCAGCCTCTGTAGTTTTTGTTTTTTTATGTTAAGCTAAGTATGACTGATTCACAATACTACCCTGTTTCTCCAACAATACGGCCGCAATATGGTGCTGCCTGCGTTGACCCCGATACGAAGTGCCCCACCAACACCGAGGTCAACATCCAAGCTGTCGCTGCCCGCCCGCCCAAAAATGCAAGGGGGGGGGAATTAAGTCACCCCCGAAAACACGGCCTAGCCATTTTTTCGGGGCTCAAAAAAAAATAAGAGCCGGCCTTATTATATGAGAAACATGGTAGTAGATTTTTGCATTTTACTTTAGCACAATATATGCATACTTTTAAAAAGTCTGCATACCACACATTTGTACCGAAACTGCACGTCATATTCTTGTAGTGTAGTGTATTTTTACTGAGAACTAAACAGTGAATTATGAAGATTTTTCCTTAAAACTTACTTCTGTTATGGCAGTAAATAAATCACTATCTGCTTCTGTTCCTTCATCTGCAGTATTAGAAAAAAATAAGATTTACTATATAAATTAATGTAAGTATTATTGATTTCATTAAGGATTTGTTAGTTAAATGATCATAGATAACTCATGTCTACCTAATAAAATACAAGGATTTCGGCAATTTACTGAACTAAATTAAACTAATATTCAGTATATTGCTTACTCAGCTGAATGATTTACATACATTTGTTCATTTAGCAAATTTATATGGCTGCCCATCTCAAAGAATGTGACTTTGAGCTGTGTGTAGCCAACAGCAACTAAAAACAATGTGACAATTATTCATTAAAATAATGTGACTAAAATAAATATAAACAAAACCCAAGATTGCTGGAGGATAATAACCATCTAGGTACAATAGAAGTTGATTGAAAGGAAAATAAGCTTAATACTTCAATCAGAAATGCAGTCTGCTTCTGAAGTGATTTTGAGAATAAAATGGACTGCAGGTGAACAGATGTGGGCAGAGGAAGAAAGGGCAGAGCTTCCCAATGATAATTAAAAATAGAGATACAATGGAAATTTGGTTCCCACTTTTGACAATATTTACTAGATAATGCTGCATGTATTGAACTAAACATACATATACAATTTTCTAGAACCTAGTAGAGACCAGTGTTTGAATTGGAAGTTGGGTTCACAGAGCAAGCATGATCCTGATTTGGGGACAGTCCATAACAATTTTTACAGAAGGCTTTGAGGAAAATCATGCTTTAGTTAAAGATTGGAGAAATGAAGTTTGGGGTTCTGGGTTTTATTAAGGTTTATTCTCCATTCCTTGTGACAGTTGCCATGTTAGGCACAGAGGCTGCTAAACTTTGGCAGAGGTTTTGTGCCTCTTAACATTTAGCTCGGTTTTGAAATCTGTATGCATTGTTGGCTGAGATAACCATTTAAACCTTAAGCAAATTTTTTCATATGAAGCCAAGAACAAAATCCAACTTAAATACTAATGTACATCTTCTCCTTCTTAAATCCTCACCATTTCTTTGCTAAGAACTGGGATATTTAGACGTCCTGTTTTGTGTGCTTCCAGAATAAAATGTTTTTTGTCTTTTCCTTGTTGACAGTCAAATACTATATATTAGGAATGTGTATGATCTTAAGTTCCTTAACCTCAGGAATAGATATGCTGCTTGATCTCAGCGACCTCCTTCAGGTAATTGTAACAGCTTTTGTTTAAATATTCTGTTAAAACATTAACACATGCCAGAAACTGAAAGCAGAGAGATTATCATAGCAGCTTTATTCAAGCAACTTTTGTTGCCTTTTTCTCCCATTTAGCAGTATTGATTCATTTAGTGCAATTAGAATCAGGTGTTTGGTATATATATCACTCCATTTTACAAACAACAGATCAACAGTATAATTGTGATGCTAATAATTAGGCTGCCAATGTTGCGGCTTTATACTCTGTTTAGATTTATGTTTATGTATTTTATTTTAAAAGTAGATTTAAAAAATACTGGCAAAAGCAGGTGTTCAGCTCTGTAAAGCTGGAGGGAAATTATTTTAGCAGAAACTTCAGAAGTTGGCTTGAAAGAAGAATGCTGGCAAAATTATATATTTATTATTTTTTAAGTAACGATTTCCTAACTTGGGGCTCATCAGATATGTTGGGATGGAAAATCCTAGAATACAGCATCTGGAATGTTAGAGAAGATTTCCCCACATATATTATAATGTTCTGATGAATTTGTAATCTTCATGAGAATGATTTAACTGAAATATGCAGGATGAAGCAAAAAGCAGCGGTCCCCAACCTTTCTGGCTTCACGGACTGGTGGAAGTGGAAGTGGTGGTGGTGGTGGTTTCGCATGTTCAATCTAGATCCTGCATGTGAAGCTCAAACAAAGCTTCACATGCTCACCCATTGCTTGCATGGGCCAGTTGCCGACAGGCTGTGGACTGGCACTGATCAGTGGACCAGAGCTGGAGACCCTTGGCATAGACAAATACAGGTAGTCCTTAGTGACCGTTCAAAATTATAGTGGCATTGAAAAAGTGACTTATGACCGTTTTTCATTCTTATGATTGTTGGGGCATCCCCATGGTCACGTGATCATGTGACATTTGGCAGCTGACTCATATTTATGCTATGTCCTTGCATCATGTGATCACCTTGTGTGGTCTTCAGACAAGCAAGGTCAATAGGGGATCCAGATTCGCTTAACAACCATGCTACTAACTTAACAACTGAAGTGACTCACTTCACAATGTGGCAAGAAAGGTCATAAAATGGGGGCAGAAATCTCTTAATAACTGTCTCACTTAGCAACAGAAACGGCTTAATTGTGATCACAAGTGGAGGACTACCTGTACATTGCATATTAATAACTATACATTTATTCATTTATACTTATTGGACTGTTCATCTCATGTACCATAACTTTGGGCAGCTCACAAAACAATGAGAAAATAACAAAACCATAAAAGAAACTCCTGCTATCTCAAAGAAAACTTTTCCCTACACATCAGCATTCCATTTTGCTGAAATCCAACCTCGCTCTACCTCAGTGTTTGTGGGAAGAGCCAGCTCTTTAAGGCTTTCCAAAAGGCTAGGATGAAGAAGCCTATTGGATCCCAGGAGAAAAGGTGCACTGCCTGAGTCTCACCAGATGACACCATTTAAGGCATGAGACCTAGAGTGTGTGCTCCATATCTGCCTTGATAGAATGAACACATATCTTCAGGAAGAGATGGTCTTGCAAATGGCCTGGCCCTCTACGATCAGGGCTTTGAAGATGATAACCAGTCCCTTGAATTTTACCCAGAAAGAAACTGGAAATTCACACAGCAGCAGTACAGTATGAACAAACTGTGGAGTTCAGCTCATAAATGGATGATCTTTGCCTGTGACCTCATATAAAGAAGGGGTGAGAGAAGTGAGTCCTGAAGCAACCTACAGTGCAAGGACCTGTAGTTTGACTCGACTCCCCAGCACTGTCTGGAACCAACCACAGAGGAGGTTCATCTCCCCCTCCCCCCTCATCCTGAGCCCTCCAAAGATTATCCAGACACAACCAGTCCTATCAGTGCTATAGCCCAGTGCTGAACCCTGCCTGAAAAGGGTCCAGATAATCTGCTTCATCCAGAGTCTCCTGAGTGCCTACTGGACAAAAGTTGTCTATCACAATCAGGTCCAGAGCAGTTGGCACCATCCAAATCCAACCTCATGCCTGCACTGACAAGGCCTTAACTGCCCAAGCAAGCCAACGTCCAAATGTATCCCATAAGTTTGAAATGACCATTCTGTTTATTTTACTTATAGTGCTGAGGATTCTTCTTTTACCTCATCCTAATTGTCTTTAAGTAACTAGCATCCTAAGTTCACTTTTTTCTTCGTAGCATTTTCGTGCAGGTGCGGGGTATGCCGTTTTTGGATCAATCAAGTATTTACCTGTTGGTTGCAACAGAAATTGATTGACTGGTTTCTCTCAGAGCCTGACATAATGGGCTGAGAACGAATGACTGGTCCAAAATTACACAGTCAGCTGTCATGCAGGACTAGAATTCACAATCTTCTGGTTTCTAATCTGGTGCTTTAACCACTAGACCAAACTGATATTCACTCACTTAATAGGACTCTAAATCTGCAATACTTTTAACACATTTCCTTTTTTTTTAAAACAGTGGATGAGCTTTAGTCCAACTGAACTCTGAAAAATGTATATATATATGACTATTCGGTTGCATTCTAAAAGTAACTTTAGCTGGCAGTATATTGGGTTTATGGGGAAAGAGTGAAATATCCTTAAGGTCTTTGTTTATAATGTATTATAAGAAATCCTTATTAAATGGATAATTTGCAACAAAACTTGTCTTTATGATATCTGGTTTTATCTATTATGGTCTTAGATATATTGGATTAGAGTAAATCTCACTTAGCAAGTGCCTTATTTAGCAACCATTCCTGGTTATGTTGGTGATGAAAAAATAAGTTTGCACTGATTCTCACATTTACAACTTTTATAGGTTTGTAAAACAAAGAAAAGCTTCATAACCACAGTTGTGGTTTCATTAAGTGACTAATTAACTTAATGACAGAGTTCCCAGCTCCAATGTGCTTGCTAGACAAGGACTACTTGTACTGCTAAATCTTATTAAAAGTTTTCAACTTTTTGGATCTTTCTTTCAAAAAGGTGTTCAGCACAGAACTATATTAATAGCTAATATATAACTTCATCATGTATTATAAACTATATATTATTCTTTATCTATTGTGGCCTCTTTCAATCATATGCCTTTTCTGAAAATAAAATTGAAAACGAACAAACCAAACAAACTGAAGAGTTGGATACCAAGCTGTCCGTCTTTATAATAGAGAAATGATATATTCTGTATTAGCACATATTATCAAAATACATGCAGACAAAAAACAAATAATTATGCATATTTACACCAGTTACAAACTTTATTTTAATATATGTTTATATAATTCATTTGAAGTGTTTGTGCTTAAGAATCACTTTCTTAAATAAATTATTTAATTTATGAAGTCAGTATTTACTCAGTGGAATTTTATTACAAGCCCAAAGCTTGAATTCCAAAATAATTTCAAGAATTCTTTAAAAAAGAGTATTTTAAATAATATTTTGCAAAAGCAAATCACAACTCTTTCATATATAGTAAGTAATGAGGGGATGTTAATTATCCCTACATCTGTTGGGTGTCCCACAAAGAGTCAGTGATCTTTCCAGAATAATAAAAAAGAACAGCTTTTCTTTTTCAGTAGGGAAATCAGCCTTTTCTGGTGTGATCATAACCAACAAGGAAGGCACAGTAATCAGACTGGAATTAATTGGAGAATTAACTTTGGGTAAAAGTAATTGTGTAATACTGTGCTTCTTGATTTTACAGGGAAATTAAAAGGAAATGAAAACATATATCTACCCTGAAATTGAAGAAAATGGATTATATGGCAGGAGTAGTTAATGGAAAAAAATGAGTAAAAACTTTCTGAAAAATGGAGAGACTAAAAGCAAAATTGCACACAAGTCCAACAAAGAAGAAAAATGGAAAATTACAGAAGAAGCTGATATTTAGTGAATTTAAAAAAAACCCACACAAATAGGAGAAAGAAAGAGGAATAGAAGGAATCCATATTATTAGTTTAGATTTGTAAAGATATTATCAAGAAAATTAAAACTCAAAATGATCTGAAATTGGTAAACAAAATGACAGGTTTTTTTCAAACATATTGGAAAATAAAAGAAAGAAACTGAGCTGTTGAGAGAAAATGGCATAAAGGATAATAGAAAACAGATAGCAGCAGAATTATTCAGTTCCCATTTTGATTAGTTTTCCCTAAGAGGATACCTCTTTCACTGGGTGTTTATGAAAAACAGATTCAAGGAACATACTTCCAGCATGAGACTTGAGAGAAATATAGGCAAAGATGTATTTACTTGGAAAGAGTTTAAATCTCAAGAGGTAGATGAATTGCATTCTAGGATACCAAATGAACCCTCTGATGGTCTGGCTGAAGCTCTATTCTTATCTTTAAAAAGTCCTAAGAGAATGATTGAAGTACCAGGTGTCTGGAAGAGATACATATTCTTTTCTTCAAAAAGAGGGGAAAATCTGATCAAATACTAAAGCAATTGTTCTGTAAACACCTTGAAAACAATTTAGTGATTCCTAATGTTATCATGAATATGTTAAGAACATGTCATTGTTGGACTTACTTTTATTTTATTTTATTTTATTTTATTTTTTTGATTGAGAAACCTGAACGGGTAGATCAGAGTCTTGGGGAAGCTGTTGAATGTTATGCAGAAACAGTTTCCAGAGTCTCCTGTGAAGTGGATGATGCTGATGTGTAGGGACTTTATGATACTGGTTTTATACAGGCCCCAAAGCCTCGGCATAGGTGGTTTGAGATGGAGTTGTTAGAGCTGGTAAAAGCCATTCTTGGAGAAGGCTGATTTGATGTATCACATGATACAGCTTTTCAGTCCTTGTGCTTCTCCTGCTACATAATCAGACCCTTGGAGGCCTCATTTACAGACACGTCCAGATTTCCTTGCAATAAAGCTTACTTCATCCATGATTTCATTGTGAGTCAGAGGGCAGATATGACATGCGTTATCAAGACTTGGATGGGTGTCCTGCCCCTGGTGGAGACTGACTCTGAGGGAGAGGAGGAACGACAGGAAG